AGTGTGGGGGGTATGACGGGGGGCAGTATGTACAGGAGAGGCGTGTGATTACCAGAGCCTGCATTTTATGAATGGGCTGTACATTGCAGGCTACGTTGTGGTTACATTGGTGTTCTATCTGCTCTCCATCAGTCCTTATGGTTGTATTGGGTGTTTGGGGGGGGTTACAGGTTGGGTGAGGTCTGAAGAAGGGGGTCCCAGGGAGACGGAAGTCATGTGATCCTCCTCTTTCTCCTCTTTCTCTTCTTCCTCCAGGTTGACATATTCAGTAAGCAGTTTTTGTTGATCCCCATCCACTTGGAGGTTCACTGGTCTCTCGTGTGTGTGGATGTCAGTAACCGGACCATTACTTACTTTGATTCCCAGCGTACGCTGAACAGGCGCTGCCCGAAGGTGAGCTCCGCGCTGACGCGTCGTCTGTCTACCTCTCTGGATGTCTCATCCGTCTGTCTCTACAACCCCCCTTGTGTCCCTTTCCATCTCTTTGTGTCTATGGCTCCGCACCCTGCGGATCTATAATGGGCGCCCCCTGGTGGGGTGCTCATTGTAATCACAGCCGATAGAAATAAAACTTCTCCACTGACTTGTGATTTTTGTTGTCTGATCTTTGAGAATGAGCAGCAAAGTGAAGGTCAAAATTTTGCCAAAATTTTCCCTCCCTTGGAATCCAAGCTATTGGATGTAAACGTTTACGATGGGATGGTAAGGAGAGTGACAGAGGAGCTGGACCTGCATAGACAGTAATTAGTCTTAGAAGAGGAGGTGGCTTTTATGTTCCAGGTGGGAGGAGCTTTGTTAGAGAAATTACACTTTCTAGAGCAGCGTTTCTCAAACTTAAAAATCTTGAGGCACCCCAATCTAAAATGTGAGGGGGGCCCCCATGCATAAACATTAAAACGTGGGGTTCCACCGTTTGCAATGAAGTCCTTTCTTCAGATCAAGAGACTTTCACATTAATGGCCCCCGTTCATCTCAAAATTCCCCCTTTCACATCAGTAGCCCCCCTTATTAGAAGCCCCCCCTCTGGATGCAGGAGGGTTTTATGCCAGGAGCCCCCCCTCTGCCTACAGGAGCCCACCTCTGTCGTCGGGTGCCCCCTCCTTTTACAGGAGCCCACCTCTGACGTTAGGAGCCCCCCTCCTTTTACAGGAGCCCCCCTCCTTTTACAGGAGCCCACCTGACGTCAGGAGCCCCCCTCTGCTGTTAGTAGCCCCTTCCTTTACCAGAAGCCTGCCTTTTAAGGTCAGGTGCCCCCTCCTTTTGCAAGAGCCCCCCTTTGCCGTTAGGAGCCCCCTGCTTTTACAGGAGCCCACCTTTGACCTCGGGAGCCCCCCTCCTTTTACAGGAGCCCACCTCTGACATCAGGAGCACCCCTCTTTTTACAGGAGCCCACCTCTGACATCAGGAGCACCCCTCCTTTTACAGGAGCCCACCTCTGACCTTCGTCGGGTGCCCCCTCCTTTTACAGGAGCCCACCTCTGACGTCAGGAGCCCCCCTCCTTTTACAGGAGCCCCCCTTTGCCGTTAGGAGCCCCCTCCTTTAACAGGAGCCTGCCTTTTGAGGTCAGGAGCACCCTCCTTTTACAGAAGCCCACCTCTGACCTCAGGAGCACCCTCATTTTTCAGGAGCCCATCTTTGACATCAGGAGCACCCTCCTTTTTTTACGTCTGGAGCCAACCTTCTCATCAGAAACCCCCTTTCATATCAGAGTTCCCCATTCATGTCAAAGTCCTACATCACAATATTTCAAGGCGCCTCTGAGAAAGGCCATAAGGCGCCCTGGTTGAGAGAGGCTGTTCTAGGGTGTCACTTTCTTAGCAAGCTCAGAATCACATTGCAGGTCAATAGAAATCATTCATAGGAAGGAGAAATGCTGCATTTTGTGCTTCCACCAGCAATTTATTTTGGTGTCGGGTCTCTTCACAACTATATGGCCATCTAAAGCCCTGACCTACGTGGTGACAACCCTGCTGTGTGCCACTTCACTGCGCTAAAGCGTTGTCACCCTATTACAGGAAGTGGAAGTATATCTCGCTGTAACAAGAATTCTCTCCTCTCGTAGCACATAGCCAAATATCTGCAGGCTGAAGCTGTGAAGAAGGAGCGGGCAGAATATGTGGACGGCTGGAAGGGATTTTTCAAGATGGTGAGCGCAGAATGGGGTCCATGTTGTCTGTTTTTGTGCGTTCTGTGAAGAACGCCCTTTTAAGGCAGATTTTGCTCCTTTTTTCTTTCATTTTTTTTGGTTTTTATTTCAGAATGTGGCAAGACAGAATAATGACAGCGACTGCGGAGCGTTTGTATTGCAGGTGAGACCGCTCGGCTTCTAAGCCACCACTACTTCTTTCCTTTCCCTCCTCAAACCTAATTCTCCCCTTAATCCTATTATGCACCCCCCC